CGTTGGGCTAGGGGGGCGCAGGGGAGGGCGTCGTTTGGCTATGGGGGTGCAGGGGAGAGCAGTGTACGGCAAGGGGGGCGCAGGGGGAGGGCGGCGTTGGGCAAGGGGGGCGCAGGGGAGGGCGTCGTTTGGCTAGGGGCGGCGCAGGGGAGGGCGGCGTTGGGCCGGGGGGTGATGGGGAGGGCGGCGTTTGGCTATGGGGGCGCAGGGGAGAGCAGCGTTGGGCAAGGGGGGCGGAGGGGAGGGCAGCGTTGGGCTAGGGGGTGCGCAGGAGGGGGCGGCGTTTGGCTATGGGGGCGCAGGGGAGAGCAGCGTTCGGCAAGGGGGGCGCAGGGGGAGGGCGGCGTTGGGCAAGGGGGGCGCAGGGGGAGGGCGGCGTTGGGCAAGGGGGGCGCAGGGGAGGGCGTCGTTTGGCTAGGGGCGGCGGAGGGGAGGGCAGCGTTGGGCTATGGGGGTGCAGGGGAGGGCGGCGTTTGGCTATGGGGGCGCAGGGGAGAGCAGCGTTGGGCAAGGGGGGCGCAACGGAGGGCGGTGTTGGGCAAGGGGGGCGCAGGGGAGGGCGTCGTTTGGCTAGGGGCGGCGGAGGGGAGGGCAGCGTTTGGCTATGGGGGCGCAGGGGAGGGCGTCGTTTGGCTATGGGGGCGCAGGGGAGGGCGTCGTTTGGCTATGGGGGCGCAGGGGAGGGTGTCAACCAAGCACCTCCACCCCCTTCATCCCTTCCCCCTTCACCTCCTCCACCGTCGCCACTGCCACCATCTCCACCTCCGCCCCGCATCCCCCTCTCCTCTCTCCCCCCCATCCCCACCTCCTATAGGATACAGCTATTTCTTCCCCGCATCCCCCTCTCCTCTCTCCCCCCCATATCCAACTTTGCTATCTTCCTCCCTTCTTCAATGTGTGTTCACATCACCCGATGATGCAAAAGGAGGAGAAACATTTCTATAAAATACCTTATGGACTACGGTCTCACCTGTTAGGTTGTCGGGGCTCCACTGCATTTCCGCCTGGCCCTTCGGCGGACTCCGGACTCCACTCCATGTCCACCGCCACTGGAGACGAGGCGCCTACACTAGTGTACTGACAGTACTGACAGGGGGGACCTAGCTTCAAATCGCTGATGATCTACATGTGACGTGTCTGCTAGTTTCGTTTATTGTACCTGTTTCATCCGGCTGGTTAGCTTGAGCCTGTGCACATGCAAGGGGACCATCATCATCCTCCGACTCATACACTGCACCCCTTGCTTCATCATCTGCACAAATGCACATCAAAGCAAATGGCAGACATGATTACCTTTACATCAGTCCACACCCCTGTCCATTACATCCGTCCCTTGCCCCGTGCCCGTCGCCCGTCCCTGAGTCGCTGTCACCCGAGCTGCCATGACCAGCACCCCGTTCACCCCATCCCCTTCACCTCCCCTGCCGTCACCACGGCCGCCATTTCCACCTCCGTCCTCTTCATTGCTGCAATCCCCGCCCCCCCGTCTCCGTGGCCGCCACTACCACCTCTCTCCCATGCATTCCCATCCGTTCTCACCTGCACCTCCGTCGCCAACCGTTGCTTCTTCAGTGGCAACAATACGGATCTCCACCTCTCCATCCGTCCCAATGTGTCCAGGTGATCCGTCACCTGGGAATAGCAGGGCATACGACCACGACACCATGAAGGGTTCCACATACTTCATTCTGGATGAAGTTTCCCCGCCATTACGTTTATCCCTTGCCATTGCAACCGTAACCATTGCCACTGTCGCCATCCCCGCTGTCGCCATCCCTGCTGTCGCCATCCCCGCCATCGCCCTCCCCACCGTCGCCTTCCCTGCCGTCGCCCGTCCCTTCCTCCGTGCCCGTCGCCCGTCCCAGCAGCGACGTCAGGGGCAACGGCGGCACAGATGTGCCGCCGTTGCGCCTGACGTTGCCTGAGTCGCCGTCACCCGAGCTGCCATCACCACCATCCCCTTCACCCCATCCCCTTCACCTCCCCTGCCGTCACCACTGCTGCCATTTCCGTCCTCTTACCTTATGGACTACGGTCTCACCTGTTAGATTGTCGGGGCTCCACTGCATTTCCGCCTGGCCCTTCGGTGGACTCCACTCCATGTCCACCGGAGACGGGGTGCCTGCACTGACAGGGGGGACCTCGTTTCAAATCGCTCATGACCTACATGTGACGTGTCTGCTAGTTTCGTTTGTTGTACCTGTTTGGTCCGGTTTGTTAGCTTGCGCCTGTGCTCCCGCACCAACCACCAAAGGGCCCGCCGCAACGGGAGCTTGTTGCTGAGGAGATTCATCTGCATCATATTGGACGTCGCAAATTTTAACCCTACATAGTACCTGGCAATGTATTGCAGCAATTTCTCACTGCGTCCAGCGACCATCTCTTTAGGAGCCACGGCATCGAGGCCAAAAAGCTCTTTGCCATTATTACCACCATGAGGCTGGACGCACTGATGCATGATGACGAGATTATATGCATGAGACGTGCTATGATACTTGCGTTCGCAGGACACACACGTAATTTCAAATTTCGACAACGCATACAGTCGACCGCGGCAGAGGTAACGTGGATATGTTTTAACTGGAGGGGCCATCTTTATTAGCTATTATTACATCTTCAACAGAAAGCAGGACTTGCGAACAGATGCTGTGTGCATTTGTATGTTCTGAAGGGCCCTACAGCCCTTCATTCTGGGACAAGCGCAGACTGAACGAAACCTTATGTTTGGAGTATTTGTACAGTCATAAGTAATTAAAACAATCCCTGGCATGTCGATATTACAGGGCTTTTGCATGCTAAGTGGCCATTTCAGCCGAACTCCGTCGATATGCTCTGAAGGCCCCTCAGCCCTTCGTTATGAAGTGAACACGAATGAGCACGAAACGACAACTAGATGAAGGGATTCCCGGGTATCGAAGGGAAGCTGGTTCCCAGAGTGTAAGCAACACATGGTCCCACCATGTACATACATGTATGTACATGTACAGCTGCAGGTAGAGCAGGTAGGAGTACTACGTGGTCGTGGCTGGTGGAGGGGTTGCACAGCCAGGTGAAGGCTTGTGATGGCTTTCAGTCCAAACTCCAAGAAAAAAGCTTTTAAGCGATCAGAATCTGATGAACATAATAGCTGGGAGCCAGGGATGAACTTTATCCCTACCAAAATGGAAGCGTGCTAAAGAACGTTCCTGAGAACACTAAGAATGCTAAGAACAGCTTGAGAATGCTGGCGCTGCTGAGAATGTTCTTATGCCAGTCTCAAGCATTCTTATGACGGTTTTACGCAAAGAATGGCTTTGAGAATGCAACGGTGCGGAAAACTTAGCAGAAACACACACAAGTTACAGTGGTTTGCCCCTTCCATAGTTCAAGCAGGAAACAGAGAGTCAGTCCTGTATTCTGAAATAAGTTCATAGTGCTGAAATCATCCACAAGACCGACCATGAGGGCCCCTACAGCTCTGCACCGAGAGGGTAAGGCCCTTCGAAAACTGGCTGGCACCAGGAAGTCGCCCCGGTATACAAGTGAAGCAGACATGCCCCAACAATCAACTATCCAACGAAGGATTTAGTCAGTCAACTTATGGAACGGGCCCCAAGCAATTTCTGTCGATTTGCATAGTAATGTGCCACTCCATTACCTATTACTTCACCAATACATCCCTGTGCACAACATTCATTCGGTTATCCATCAGCCGTACCATCAGCCGTACCTTCATTGAGAAGCCCCGCCAAGGGCACGGTTCGACCATTCGAGGGCCTGGGCGACCATGCCCACCAGTCCCCACGATTTGCCCTCCACTCCACCAATGCGTTACTAAAGATTGCCCCTCAAGAGCAAGCCACAAGGGATTCAGAGGTCTTGCAGCGCTAATGTTCTGCTACCGTGACCTCACCCATGGGGTCTGCGGCTGCAGGGCCTCCCAGCCAGCCACCCGCATGAAGCTGTAGCTTCTTGAAAGAACACACAGGGCGCCCCGTTTACTGGGGTGTGGCAAGATGTGCACCCATCAAGGCGCAACATCCTCAGCCAGGTAGTAGCGAGGGCCTGTGTTGGACACACTGGCAGCCCTGGCGTCCACCAAGGGGACATTCATGAACTGGTCGACCGCAACTTCGGCATCACTGTTGTTCCCCAGCAGGGGAGCATGCCATTCGACCTCCAGCATCACATCGAACTTATCCCTGTTCAATGGCGACCTGTAGTGGTACAAGCCCAGCACCTTCCCCACCCACATTTTGTCGCTGGAGTTGCATCTCTGGGTGATGAACCAGCAGGCCTGTGATGTCTTAGGCTTGTTGCTATCGAATGCAGTGAGTTCCACGTTGTTGTTGAGCTTGATGGCCATGAGCTTCTCCAAGAACCTGCCTGTGAGATGTATACCACTGACCGGCTTTGACCCCAACAGCAAACCCGGCTGCACCCACACATCTTGGCACCACAGCTCACTGAGGCAGCACTTGGCCAGCACCTACAGATGCAGGCAAGAGGCACACCAGCAGATAGGTACGGCACGGTCGATCAAGGTGGTGAGTGTATTTATAAATACACTCACCTTGGTAATTACCAAGTTGTAGCGATGAAGACAGGCATGCATTGCAGGGCAGTCACACCAGGTTTCACACCTTGTTCCGCATGGACACAGAGCCATGGCTGTCCCGGTGCAACAGCATCCTTCTTGAGTGGGTCCTTAGCCTCAGGTGTGAAAGATAGTCGGACAGGAATGTCCCCGGGGTCGTGTCATCAGTCCACTGCTCCCACAGCCAGGCAGTGAAAACACCAAATAAATCAGAGTAGTCGGTGCTGTGGTGCAGGTAAGTCTCATGCATCTCCAGGAGGAAGCCTTCCGGAAGGGTCTCGCACCATGCCTGCTTAAATCCTATTGCAGTGTTTCCGGAGGTAGTGTCAATGCTGGGGCCGATGGAATTAGTGACCGTCCAATACACCTTCTGCTGATGGGTCAACTTTCCAGCGGACACGGCGTCCTGTGGGTGTTCAAAAGTGCAGAGGCCCTCGGGTAACCTCTCAGCAGCTAGAATCACTGACTCCTTATGTATCCGGCTGCACATACAGGTAGCCTCGGGGTACTGCTTGTTCTTCATCAGCTTCACCAAATGGTTCCACAGTGATTTGTAGCCCCACATCACGGTTGTGAAACTTGGCCCAAGGTATTCGATTCACTCCGCGAGGTGCAGCAGCTGATGCAACTTGATGTCTAGCTCTCAGGAAGGCAGGTGAATCTCCATAAGTGTCACAGCACGAGCGACACCATGGAGGATTGGCAAACAGTCCTCCCGCGGCACGGCCTTGTCCATCAGGAAGGACACGCTGCAGAGCAGCTGCAGCATCACCTCAAGCTGAGGAGAACCGATTCCAGTGGCATGGCCAAAGATGTAGGCTCCATATGGGCTAGCAAGAAAGCACCATGTGTGCATCTTCACACTCTTTCCGGGCTTGAAGAGGCTGTGCAGGCGTGATCCGCCACCGTCCCCTGAGGGGATGACTGCTGCCACCGATCCCACAGCTGAGGCCATCCGATCAACGCTGGGTGTCAACCATGGCGTCCCCTCCCACGTCCGTCTGTTGAAGTTGAGCTCCTGCCTGCAAGAGTGATGTGCACAGCTGGCAAATGAATTTTGTTAAGGTAGCCTTGCTGTGTCACCCAACCGATGGTCTCACTTCACTGCTCTGCAAAGCAACTCACGGTTCCGGACATACTCACTGGCAGACGGCATCAGTCACCCGGGTGCAGCCCGTGGCAAGCTTGAGAAGATCACGTGTGCTGTTGGCTAGCATATGCATGGGGTCGTAGTGGAGGCCCAGGTCCGTGTTGAAGTGGCCTAATCTTCACTCTGAACTTCAAGCAGTCAAGGCTAGTGCCACTAACACTGCAAGGATGCTGAGTCTAGACAGGGGATAGTTGTTGTGGCATACATGCATGTTCACCTTGAATTTCTTAAGACTCTGGCACTTCAGCACTTGGTATTTTCTTCACTCTTACTTGATTAACCTATTTGGTGCTTGCTTATCTTATATCATGTGTGACTGGATTATGGTGCTCTTGCTATAACCATGACACTTGTCACTGTACTGTAGTAGCTGGTGCTGTTTTAGAGAGGCCTTTTCAGCAGCCAGTTACTACAGGTACACCCAGTTGGGTACAATTGCACCTATTGGTGATTCTTAGTGATGGCAACTACATTCCCAGGCCGTACAGGTTGCTGTACATGTCATCATGTTCACTGCATGACTTCATTCAGTAATTGGTAGTTTTCACTAGCACATAAACAGTGGAGGTGGATACAACAAGGAACAAGCTGCCAAGGGTCCTTACACTGCAGAAGAACAGAAGAACACAAACCCAGCCGCAGGACTGCAGCCCACTGGCCACCACACCTCAAACCAACAACATCCCCCAGCGGGGTGACACAACAGAACTACACACAACACATACCCAAACAACTCCCAACCACCACCTGGTCAGACTCTCACGAGATGGCCCCTACCTCCTGAACCTGGGAAAATCCCAGACTGGTGACAAGCACTATCCTTCAAGGCCCTAAGACCTCTACAACACCCTCCCCAACCTGCTCCCTCCTAGCCTGCCAGCTGTCCAGTCACCCCTCAGCAGGCATCTGCCACAACCCTGCCACTGCCAGAGCCCAGCATGGAAGTGTCTGCAATTAACCAGTGAAAAAGGGAAAGGGTAACTTATTATTCCATTGTATGCCAACTCACAAGCATGATAAATTTCTTTTGGGACTAGCCAACCTGCATGAATAACTCAGACTTCTATTGCAGTTGAAGCAGGCTGTAAGGATTCTGTACTTTCATCAGGTTTATGCCCAGTCATTATTGTCCTTCAGCACAATGGCTTTAAAGCAAGTTTATGTTCCCCAATCCGTTTTGCATTATAGTGAAGTACGGTATTATTGGGGACAACAATACCATATTTCCCTCAAAGTGGGAACACATCCCCAAACTAATTAATCTTCTTGTGCACTTCCAGCATGAGCAGCCTTGGCAAAAATGTGGCAAAAATATCCTAAGAGTTCATGAAGTGAGCAGCAAATAAGATGAGTAGCCTATATACCTATAGGCCCATGTCCATAGTCCAGAGCAACAGAGGGTGCCATGTCACTGGTTATCAATAGGCTGTTGGGGGTTAAGGTAACCCATGGGATTGAGGGTAACCCACGGGTTACAGACCCAATCAGTGCCATAGGGTAGGTAGGTGCTAAGTTATTGGAAGTGGTATCATCAGCTGCATAAGCACACTTTGTACAGCATGTTGCTGCTTGTTTGGATAACCCCTACATAGGTATAGTACACTCTGGGATAGTGTACAACTAATAATCCACAATAATATTATAGGTTGTCCTTGCTCCTAGCTAGCTGCAATGCAATATGAGAAGTAAGAGAAAATCTACTTATGCAAGGTACGAGATATGTCATGGTCATAGCACTAGTATCCCCAACCACCATATGACTCACTCATCAATGGGGTGGATTCAGCTCCAGCACACTCTTGTAGAGCCAGCGCAGTGTATGTGACGGCACAAATGTGCCCATGGCCCCCTTGTGCTCGATATTCTTCATACAATATGATATTTTCTGCTCCAGGTCGCTGCTCCTGCTTGCTGCCTCCTCCTTCTTCCGCTTCCCAGCAGCAGCCCTTTGGCTAGATGCCAAAGGTTCAGCTGTCCACTCCTCCAGCTCCATATCTGGTATCAATGGCATGGTCATCCTGGCCTGGTCATGCTGCTCCTGCTCTGGCAGGTCCTCCTCCAAGTGGTAGATGCTGCCGGTGTGGACACCAGCGAGGATAGTCGGGCTCACCACTACTGCACCACCACTTGAGTTTGGCAACAAACCTGCAGATGGGGCCAGTCCAAGTCAGGATCTAACCCATGGCTTGGATTACAAAAATGAGACAACACGTACAGTTCAAAATGCAGACTCATAATCCCATGTGTCCAAAAAGTCAAGCATACAATATCAAGCTACCGTACTGCCACTAAATGTTTGCGAATTAAATAATCCTCACAATCTGTCCTCACAATCTGTAGAATATTTTATTAATTATTTGATATATTAGCAGACTCTATATTCTCCTATCCGGATACAGATGCTTTGCCTGCTGTGTGTTGGATTCAACATTCAAGTTGTACCGCAGGCGCTTGCAAACTTTTAAAATTAACAATTTAACTCCAGCCCAGCCCTCACAAAGTTTTAGTGCAAGCATTTTAAATTATTAATTATTTCGGGACCTCGCAAACTTTTAGGCTCGCAAACATTTCGTGGCAGTACAGTAGTATGACTTAGCGAAAGACTCACCAGAGTAATCAGCAACAGCCTCGTTGACGTCAGCCGAAATCCATGTCACCGTGCCACTGGACACATTCGGTGCGTCCCAAGTGGCCTTGCTGATAACCTCCTTGTCTAATACCTGTGGAAAGCTCACCAGCTTGACAGGCTGGCAGCGAGACAGCCCGATTCCAGCAACCCAGCTGCAGGTATATTAAGGGGTACAGGCCACATTATAGGAGTAACTGCCAGCCATTATTTCAATATTAATAAGGGCAACAGAAATCATATGCATGTAACATTCAAGTAATACCCAAATTACCCTAATCAACTGTCTTACCAGAAGGGCACCCACTCAATGTCACCTCCAGGCTCCTCCTCCAGGGCCAGGAACGTGATGTCATAGCCTGGAAAGCTTGCCACATGCCTGTATGTAGAGCATTCCAATAGCCATATATTATTAACTGAAGTGCTATCTGCATGTTCCTTTTCACATGATGCTGCAGCACCCACATGGTACATGCCACCCCAAAGATAATCATGATCTGGTGCTAAGCATAGCTACCATGTTTAATAGCAGACCTTACCCTATCATATTCATGGTTCACATGCATACTAGAGGCAGCAAAGCAGGTACAGTGTATGACTAAGGAGACTTACGAGACACTTTGCCCGAATGCTACAATGCCCTCCATGCTTATTCTCTTTCCTGCTTCTGGAAGGAAGCAGTGGCGGCAGGTGATGGCGACCCGGCAACCTGTCCAGGTACATGACCATGATAGTATAGGTCCTCAGTGCACAATCCAATGATGCAAATGAATAGCTAGACTCCTCCTTTAATACAGCATTACATGTCCATAATGAAAGTGCTCCATGATAAACCAACTAGAAGTATTGTAATTACAATAACATCAGGCAAAGGGTACTTGAGGGATGCCAATGGAGCTGATCCTGTAGTAGCTGGTACACAGTACGGCTCTACAAATGCACACAAAGTGTGACCAGCATTTTGAAAGGCCTTTTCAGCGGCCAGCTACCACATTTGGTATGTTTGTTAGTGTAACATTTCGTCAGTCCCTGTCCGAGATGGAGGACTTTGTTTGTACTCAGCTGGTAGACTTCTCACCCACCCGGGCATCCACCTGTGGGATAAGAGTATGCTGCATTGTGCCTGGTGTGTGATCCATTCACAACCGAATTCAATCCGGGGAGTTCCCACCTCCTAGCAATTCACACCAATGTAACACCAGGCAAAGAGTACTCAGGGAGATGCCAGGGGAGCTGATCCCTTCTTACATACATGCAACATTGGTTCTGGGATCAAATGCTACAGTTGTCCCCATCCCTGCCTGCTCATCCCCACTCACCACCATGTTTGCCACCGTCTGGCCAATGAAGATTCATTAGGCAGGCTGTCCCAATGGTTTCCTCCTTGTAACACAGCCGGCTGACACCCCTGCAGGGCTTCTTCCAGCCCACATCATCACCAGTGGCTCCTGCATATCCAATAGATGGAGGCAGTATGTATGTTGTTACAGGGTGGTTAAGGTTCACCAGCAGCCCCCTTTTCCGAGGCAGTTCCCTGCTCTCCCCTGCGAGAGGGGCACCATAATCTGTATGTACAGTGTTTCACAGTCTGCTAGGGCCTCCTACCTTTTGAACAGGTATGCACTGCTGTGCTATGCATACTGGGTGATGACAGATTGCAGGCCATGGCCAGGTGTGACAGGCAGGTGCATGAATATGTCCATTAATTGTACATTACCATTGTTGCTGCCACTCAACCTAATAAATCAGAAGACTGAATTAACCACCATGTTTATTATGTAGTGACTGAACATACTTCAATAGCCATGATTGTGCATATAGGATGTAGCTGCTGTAGTATACCACCCACATCACCCACAAATACGTGCTGCATAATAACTCCTTTATTAGGGAGTTAAACCTAGTTAAACCAAAGAAAATGGCCCCATCGAAGCACTCTTGGCAGATCTGCCAGCATCTTAGGGAGGCCCTTACAGTGGACAGCCCCTTCTTACATAGGCCATCTCCACACCCACACAGCACAACAATAAAATAATTGAAAAAAGAAAATATTTAAAGCTGATCACAACGGTGGTGTGGAGACATCAAAAAGCCCACGGGATATACAACCTTAATATTTTTGCACATGGCTCATGTGCCCAGAATAACCATAAAACACAGTAATCAACACTTTACACTTGACGGTTTGCACAATTTATGATTCAAAATCTCAATTATGCCATATGTTTCCACCCCTAATCATAGCCCTTGTACACTGTCACTCACCACCAGTTTCTCTGGCCGAGGTGCCCCCACCGAGCTGCCCTGTACTGCTGGGGCCAGCCACTGCACCTGCAATTGGTGGAGGATAAGGGAACCATACGAATACACAATCCATTCATCACCATCAGAGGATGCCTGGATATACATCTGTGTGTCTGGGGTTGGGGTGTGATGGCTGCTTAAATGCATGCAACACTCACAGAGACAGATGGCAAATAATGATATGCTTCATCCATGTGATCACATGGATTACATCATACATATATTTACATATATATACACCTTTAAAACAATGTATGATATGCGGGACAGGGGGGGTCAAATCTTCACCCTGTGGCTGCTACCCAGCAGACCCTGCCTTCCCCAGTATGTCAGGGCACCCTCATCCAGTCACCCTAGCCAACTTCTCAGTGGATCACTCAGGTTCAGCACCCACTATCAGCATCCAATGGAATCTGCTGAATCAACAGAGGCCCAACTCTGTTCCTGGTGAGCTCATAGGTCAACATTATCCCAGGTCATGTAAGAGGGATCAGCTCCCCTAGCATCTCCCAACTGAGTATTCTTTGCCTGGTGTTACATTGGTGCGAATTGCTAGGAGGTGGGAACTCCCCGGATCGAATCCGGTTGTGAACAGATCGCACACCAGGCATGATGCAGCATACTCTTACCCCAAAGGTGGATGCCCGGGTGGGCGAGAAGTCTACCAGCTGAGTAAAAGTGAAGTCCTCCATCTTGGATGGGGACTGACGAAATGTCAATAACACTCAAATACACAATCCTACGGGAACTCAAATAACCTAAATCCTACGGGATATGCCTGGGGGCACCCAAGGATGTTCACTCAAGGGGGGGAGGAATGTAAGAGGGATCAGCTCCTCTGGCATCTCCCAACTGAGTACTCTTTGCCTGGTGTTACAGGTCACCATCATCCATTGACTAGGGGCACTTTTATCTCCTACCATCAGAAGGATTTTTGACCCTCCCTAAGGCACTGATTGGGTCAGTAACCAATGGGTTACCCATCAGTAGCCCATTGGTAACCCCCTTGTAAGTTCCTATCCAGCAGGAGGGGTAACACGGCCCAAGGGTAACCCCCTCTGTTGCCCTGGACTTTGGACACATGTATGGGCCTATAGGCTACTCATCTTATATGCTTCCCACACCTTATACTCCACTTAAGGATACTTTTAATAATGTAAATGTAAGCAGCCTACAGTATTTTCGCCATTTCAACCTTAAGGTCTCTAATGCTGGCATCACACGCACAAGGAATAACAATAAGTACCTATCTCTTGGCCTGTTATGAGAGCTTGTAGATGAGTACAGAAGGCACGAATGCTGGTAGCACACACAAGTCAACGACAGGTCTTCACTAAATGGATGCCTTTGGTTGTCATCCATTGTTATGTAATAGTTCTCATTGTGAAAACATCAGGCAATCAGTCCTGAGGTTGGCTGGGGATGGTCGTACACATGTGCATGCTGCTTTGCCTCCATTTATACTCCTAGCAAGCACAATCAAGCTTAATCACAGCTAATTAGCTTGTAAGCTCATATAATGCACACTCTTGGCTGGTCTTTTAATTAGATGGCAAGCTAATTACCACTATCACGAATTCAGTCAATCATATTCACTGCCAGGATTGTTCCTATTGACCATACATACAATGCACACATATTATCCACGTTGCAATACTGGTGTGTATGGCAGCAAAAATGGTGGTGTTCTAGTGTTCGTGCACGCAGACCACCACAAGACCGTTGACTTTCTTTCTGCACAGGCCCACACTTATGGTGCACCTCATTTAGCAAGACATCCAGTAGCATCCGAGGATTTTACCCGGAAGGGCGCCTTGCACTTTGCTGGGTGTGACCATGTTCGGGGTAAAACATCCAGATCTCCCACCCAAGACCCTTGACGCTCTTAGGAGAGCCTGCTCTATAAACGAGCAGACTCTGGATAGTGTTGCATATGTCATGAGTAGAGCTGGAATTAGCATGTCAGGATGGGGCACTTAAGCTACTGGCTGACCTTACATTGCTGCTCATTACCTGGTCAGCAAATTTTAGGTCTTGGGTCTGAAGTGGCATTAAGCACCTGGACCTTTTGATATGTATATTTTTTGGCTTTGCTGGCAGCTTCTCGTGGTCCCCAATTTGCTCTGCCTGTGTATGCCTGTTTGTCCACCTCCTTGCATCTAGGCTGCAGCTGTGTGCCTTAAGGATAAGGCACATAGCTGCAGCCTAGGTTTAGGTTTCTAAACAAGGCATGTCTTGGTCTGGCAATGTTGATAATTGAGCATTCACAAGTGATTGGTGAAGACATGTATGTTTGCATGTGTAGACAGGCGAGACAGGCACAGGTGAATGTAAACATGGGTCTGTTACCCATCAGTAGTGTATTACCCCACCCCTGCCCAGGCATTAGGTTACCCACCTCCCTTCATACATAGCCACATGGGTAACCCCTACCCCTACACCCTGGGTACCACTTAAGGGGGGTTTACCCCCCATTTATTTAGGGAAGGATTGGAGCAAACTTAATTAGTCTATTTAAAATAAATTTCCAAGCAGCTAATATACTTCAGCAGCAAAATGATAAAAAACGGGAACTTTCTATGGAATAAGAGCAAACAAAATAATGACTTTGATAGCTAGCTTGGTTGCTGAGAGGGCCAGCAACTAGGTTGCAGGCTCATGAGAACCTGTCACATGTACATCCATAGCTGCATCAGGTAACACTATTGGTGAAAACTTGTCAACAGACTGCTGAACCCCCAGTTTAGATGATCTGTGTGTGACTTGTGTCATAGACAGTGCTGGGGTGTGATGTGATGTGCACCCAGCCGTCTGAACAAGCTGTCCATATCTGCACTGCTGACTTCCACCCACCCACGTAACACACTTCCACATATGCTGCAGACTGCCCACTACCAAGCCACTACCACCACCATATCACCAGTCACCCTACAAAGCCACAATAAACACAGCCAGCTGCTTCACCAGAAACACCCAATAGTTAACTGTACAAACTCACTTTCTGTTCTCAATCACAACCTAGCGCATGACAGCAAGACTCCAGGAATGGAGATGGCAGCTTAGGGTTTAGGTGGACTGCATTTAAGCCACCCTGGTGAAGTGCTTTGACCAGACACTTTTGTATCACTATAACAGTATTGCTGTCATCATTCTAGACTTATGTCTTCAAACTCCAATTTCCTGTACTGCTTCTCACTTCTAACACTTAGTCATCCTTCATGGTCGAGGCCCTCTCCTCCCATGGGTTGTAAAGTGGGGCACGCAACCTAATGTGCCTGAAAGCCCAATTTTAACATGTGCATATAAAGCTATTAGCAATCTGGAGTCTTCCCTCGAGTGCAGATAGGCAGTCAAGAGGCACAACACTGCCAAGGCTGTTAGCACTTCACTACCTATTGTTAGATAATGAGTATGCAAAGTATTCAGCTCCAATAAACAATGTAAAATTGAGGTCCGACTCACCAGAGCTAGCACCCGGTGGTGGGATAGCAGCTGCAGCAGCTGCACATCATGGAAAAAGAGCGTGCAATACACAGGTAGGTCATTTGTCACGAAATAGCAGGTGTGCTAATTGTAATGGAATACACAGCTTCATAATGTTCAAAAGACCACGACCATGCATGGTATGCAGTGTGTAGCAAAGAAGCGCATGGCAATCTCTTTGGCATGACTGTCAAAGCCACCAGACTCTTCACCAACACAATAATGCTTACGGGAACACATTGATGGCCATAAACTAATGCAGGCCGATATATCAGGAAGAGCACGCGCATCTGGAGCTAGCTTCAGGCGCAAGGTTACAAAGGCAACCTACGAAACCTAAGTTTGGAACTCGCCATCAGTGCCGTGGCATGCTAGCGATAAAGGGTGTGCATCCTATCTACTCTCAACCACAATTCCTATACACTGCAGCACCATGGAGGCACAATGCTCGCAGGACGCTCGTAACGCCCGATGCAGAGGCGGCTCACATGGTCTGAACAGTATACAAGCACAATATTTTTGAAGTACGCGATTGCATACAACGGACCTTGGATAGCAGCCTTGAGCGCCAACTGCTGCCGAACAGTGAGGCCTGCTGCTTGTTCAGCGTTCAGCAGGCAGAAAGCGTCGCCAACCTCGGCATCCACCTGAAAGCCTAACTCCGAAAGCGCAACTGTTATTGGCGCAATGGACATGGCGTCCTCGCCCCTCACAGAAAGCAAGGCTTGGCGAATAGTCACCATGTCTAAGTGACCCGGACCCTGTGTGCTGCTTAGATATGCTTCAATTGTGTAGGAGGCTACAAGGTTGCCAGAACGTGCCCACAGTTCTCAGGCCGAAACCTGTACTGCGGCTGCGAAACAGTGTCCGATTTTAACCTTCCTGCGAAACTTTGCGAAGCCTCCGGTACCGGTTGAAAATTCATTATCTTTATGGAATGGCAAAAATCGTAAATGGGCCTTACGCGCCCAGAGATACCCTCAGACAGCTCTTAGGTCTCAAGAAAAGGTCACTCAGGCTCAGGATTGCATCAGATGTGACCTAAATATCCTTTGCTTGCAAGGGCTGCAACTTGTATTCATGGGAGAGGGCTACAAAGGTATAGGGAAGTGTCACTGCATCTGAGGGTTTGCTGATGACGTGCATGTTCCTTTCATTCATTCATTCAGTTCAGGACTTGTGCGTGCGCGTGCGGCAAGATAGGGGGCGTCGACGTGCACGTTCCCTTCATTCATTCATTAAGTTCAGGCCTTGCACGTGCACGTGCGGCAAGGTAGGGGGCGTCGACGTCCACGTTCCTTTCATACATTCATTCAGTTCAGGACTTGCGTGCACGCGTGCGGCAAGGTAGGGGCCGTCCACGTGCACGTTCTTTTCATTCATTCACTTCAGGCCTTGCACGAGCGCGTGCGGCAAGGTAGGGTGCGCCGACGTGCACTTTCTTTTCATTCATTCATGCAGTTCAGGCCTTGCGTGCAGGCGTGCGGCAAGGTAGGGGGCGTCGACATGCATGTTCCTTTAATTCATTCATTCAGGCCTTGCGTGCCTCGAGTGGGAGAGACTGCTGCTGCGGCGGCGGCGGCGGAGGAGGAGGAGGCGTTGGTGGCTCCCTCTCATTTGCTCTTCTATGGTGTCTGGGGACAGCAGTATCAGGTTGTGGCACTTATGCGGTTGTAGCGGTTGTGAGGGGGCAGTTGGCTCCTTTGGAAATGACAGGAAGGGAGGAGGGGAATCTGTGATGCTAAAGACTCGCCCCCCGAGAGGAATTCCTGCCGATGTCCAAAGCACAAAATGGCTAAGTCCTTTTGTCGGGGGTCGTAGGAGGGGTAAGAAGTGGGGGCTTGCTCACGGCTCGTGTGTACGGGAGCCTGGAAAGACGTTTTGTGCATTTCACGTATGCCTGCCGCGTGTGTTATGTATATGCTTATGTGTGTGTGCGTGCGTTGTAACTGCATGTTCGTGTTCCAACTGTCGTACAGGAGCTGGACGCACCGTCGTACTTCAATCCCTTGGAGGTATGCACGGCAGGGTATTCTCACGGTACGGCGGCCGCGCTAAGCTTGTCGTAGCGGCCATACATCCGTACCGCCGCCGTACATGCACGGCATTTGACAGGCCCCAGGAAAAGATCTTAGTATTTCCCTGTCGCGGTTATGTCACCGGCCCTGTCTTCACCTCTCCTTCACCGCCATCTCGCTCGCATTCTTCATCTTCCTCAATCCCTCGCTTCTCCTTAACTACCAAACACAAACTGCCTTAACCCTGGCCAAAGTCAATCAGCTCACAAGTCTCCATGGCCTTAACTGCCAACCTCCCAACTTCTAACTCCTGTTAAATAGGCTAATAAGCTAGAAGTATGCTCAAAATGCATGAGGTTTTGCTATTGGTATATTGCTAAAATAAATATCCTAAAAGGATAAAATTATTGAACCCGGGCAACCTCACACAGGCTTCCACTGTCGCTGATCTAGTGGACTCACTCATCAAGGCGTCATGGGCGGCGGCAACGAGGAGACTGGAGGCGCAGCGGCAGGGCCGTACGGGCAGCGGGGCCGCCGCCGCCGCCGCTTCCGCCACTACTGCCGTACAGTCAAACAACGCTGCAGGGGAGCTCCTTTCCGGTGTCGTACATCAGCAACACATTGGTATCATTTGTACCTACAGGAAGCAGGTGTGTGTATATTCGCACATTTGTCGTCCATGTATTGTACATATACAACTGCTACCAAGTATTTTTCAACAACCGTACTGTACTCGATTTCAGTAGTACTCCTCTGGTCATTAGAGTGCCGTGTAATTGCTCGTACATTTGCTGCTCGTACAGGTGTTCAAGATGCGTCAGTTGATCCGCGAATGAGGCCTTGGCGGTGTTCGTGTTGGCACTGTTGACGATTACCAGGCAGGTGAAGTACATGCCGTACTCTGCCGTACCGTGCCGTGGAAGCGGCACTGTCAGGGCCGGCCGCGTCCCCGCAGAAGCAAGGGCACAATGTTACATAAACCAAACACTTCCCAATCAATGCAGTTGGAGAGCAACATGCAACTCAAGGTGAAACACACACACACACACTCTCACTCTCTGTATTGCTTGATCTTCAAAGCGAATTCTCAGCGACCACAACCGTGTTGTTGTTTTGTTGTGGCTACTGCAGCTTGTTACTTCGCTGCTAGAAATTGCTGTGTCCACGTCTGCATTATCGTTACGCAATAATGCTAATAATACACCGTTATTGAACTCGCTATTACGCTGTTGTTGTAGCCGTTGTATTCTGTTATTACGGTCGTGATTTCATTGTTGCTGTTGTATTTCGGTTGGTTTTCGGTTGGTTGTTTCCGTCCACAGGGTCAGGAGGAGCGGATCATCTTCATCTCCACCGTCTTGTCGAAGGTGGAGTCCCTACCCGGTGCGGTGATCAACAAAAACACCGTCGGCCGCGGCGGCGGCGCCGCCACTGCTGATGGAACGGTCGCGGCGCCGCCACCTCCCTGCCACCAACCGCTAAGTCTCTGGTCGCATCCACGGCGCTTTAACGTAGCTGTGACTCGCAGCCGGGCGTTACTGGTGGTTGTGGGACATCCTGCCGTACTGCTGGCGGACAGGTACTGGCGGGAGCTTGTACGACAGTGCGTGGCAAGGTACGACAAGGCGGTCGGGATGACCTTTGGGGCGGAAAACCTGCTTGAAGGAGGAGGAGTACCCGAGATACCCCCACCCTGGGCGCGTTCTGCTCCTGCTCCTCCGCCTGCTCCTGCTCCTCGTACAAGCCAAGCGGCTTTGGGCTGTAGTATTCGTGGTATTGCTTCAGGACCTCCTCGAGATGTGGGGGCTGTAACATGTTTGCCTCACGCGAGAATTAAGACCTAAGTGTCCTTTAGGTTTTTAATAAAAATAAAACCCTCCAAAAAATACAAGTCGGGTTGGCTTGTGAGGAGAGAAATGGGGGATTTACACCGTCTTGCTGCACACGGCTCTGGGTTTATTTCTCTTGTTGTGCGACATGCACAGTATTTAGTCCGCCTAGTCGTACGGCTTTACCTGCACGTAGATATGATGTGGCTTCTCTCAGCTATAGCTTTCATTCCGGTTGTCTTTCTGTTATTGACATTGACGTTGACATCTATTATATGGTCCGCAGAGGAACCTACCGAGGAGCCGGTACGGCACTGGTACGGCGGCGGATGCGGCAGGACGCCATCGCCGCCGCCACCGCCGCCCTGGCCACCACCGTGTGGCGGCGGCCGGCGGGTGATGCTACTGCAGCTACATCTGTTTCTTGCCGCACTGCTCGGCGGGGCAGCAGCAGCAGTATCACCGCAGTAGCTACTGCTGCCGCGGGGAGCGCTGCTGGAGACGGGGCTGGGCTGGACAATGGCGACAGCGACGGCAGCGGTGATAGTGACTGTGGCGGCGGCGGTGGCAACGGCGGTGACGGCGGCATTACGGACCGCAACGCCGTACAACGCCGTACAACGATAAACGGGGCGCACCTTATTGAGGCCGGCGCAGAGGTGCAGGGTGTCGGTGACGGCGCGTTCGACGACAGCGAGTACGATGACGAGTATGGCTTGGATGATTGGGAGGACGGCAGCGTCGGGGAGGACGACGACGCTGATGAGGCGGACCTGGCGGATGCCGTACAGCAATTGGCGGAGATGGCGATGCTAGGTGGGTGACCCTTGTGTGATTTTGGGAGCTCGTAAAATGGTATCGCGCGGCATGAGCCTTTTGTCAGTGTGCCTGCGAAGTTGCAAGCCAAGGTCAGCCACCATGTTGGTTGTCTTTTTTGTCCCTCGCTTGGACTCAACCAAAAATGACATGCTGATTAGAAAGAAACGTTCTTAGAATCATCGACTTTCCATGACTTCCTTAACCAATCTGCCGATTCCTGATTTTGTTTCCTGTACAAGATCCCTACTGTAACGCCGCTGAGGCATTATCCGTTCTATCCGGGCCACCGTGGAATTAATGTTTTTAGTATGTTGTTACAGGGTGGTATAAGCTTCACCAGCGGCCCCCTTTCCCTTGGAGGCAGTCCCTGCTCTCCCCTGCGAGAGGGGCACCCTAATCCGTTTACCCCATCAGATTTTAGAATGTATTCGTTGGGTTCAGCAAAATACCACCAGCATTCAACCAAATCTAGTGGATAAACAGCGCCTCAACTTAGTCGCGTGCGATTATGGCAGAGTCTTCTAGCCCTGCGCATGCTGTGACCCGCACAGGCTACCAGAGTTTCGGCAGTCTTTTTGGGGCGAGGCCCCCCAAATGGCGCTTCGCGCTGTTCACTGCTGCGTTCAAAAGCTACATCAACGTTCAAAAGCTACATCAACGTTCAAAAGCTACATCAACGTTCAAAAGCTACATCAACGTTCAAAAGCTACATCAACTCTTTATCGATTGGCCAGAGGAGAAAATTCAGATAAATCAGAGCGCGAAGATAGCTTTCCATGGCTTTCGAGTTTGACTTCCCCTCACCTCGCAGCCCGAAGCAGAATGCGGTTGTTACAGTGGACCCCGCGGGGTCCTCTGGGAACCGGTCTTCCTTCAATTTCCCGGGAATCCCTTCGTTGGGAGTTCGTTTTTTGTTCATTCCGTGCTCATTTCGGAATAGGGGACGAGGGGCCTTCAGAACATATCGAAGGGGTTTGGCTGAAGTGGTCGGACTCCTTTATAGAAGCCTTCTGACATTGTCATGCCAGCACTGGTTTTAGTGAGAACACGACTTTGCACAAATCCACACAGCATCTGTTCACTAGTCTGGCTGGCTGTTTAAGATGTAATAATATCTAATAAAGATGGGCCCCCCAGTTACCTCTGCGACGGCCGACTGTGTGCGATCTCCCAATTTGAAATTTCGTGTGCGTCCAGCGGACGCAAATTTCATAGCAAGTCTCACGCATATAATCATATCATCAGGCAGCAGTGCGTCCATAATGGAAAAGAGGCTGCGGCTCCTGACAAGATGGTCGCTGGAGGTAGTGAGACATTGCTGCAACACGATGCCAGGTACTACGTTTAAAACTTGCGGCATCCAGATGCATCTCCTCAGAAGCAACAAGCTCCAGTTGCGGCGGGCCCTTCGGTGGTTAGATGGCTCAAGCTAACCAACTGGATCAAACAGGTACAATAAACGAAACTAGCAGACTCGTCACATGTAGAGCATCAGCGACTAGAAGCTAGGTTCCCCCTGTCAGTGTAGGCGCCCCGTCTCCAGTGGTGGTGGACATGGAGTCCCGAGTCCAGAGTCCGCCGAAGGGCCAGGCGGAAATGCAGTGGAGCCCGACAACCTAACAGGTGAGACCGTAGTCCATAAGGTATATAGAGATGTTTCTCCTCCTTTGCATAATCGGGTTATGTGAACACACAATGAAGGAGCGAGGACGACAGGAGAGGGGATGGGGGGTA